GAGAGAGAGAGAGAGAGAGAGAGAGAGAGAGAGAGAGAGAGAGAGAGAGAGAGAGAGAGAGCAGGACGGAGGGGGGGGAATCTAATAACTTGAAACATGAAACATTGTATAGGCCATACTGCTCACAGATGTGGTACCATAATGATGAAGTTGTATGCGGGCTGTGCGAGGTCACCAACATGCATTGTTGGTCACCAACAAACATTGTAAGGACAAACATAACATATCTACACACACCGTACTCTTAACTAACTAGCATTGTTGACCGTCCACACCCACTTATCCACCAGTAGACATGTGGATGTGGATGTGACAGCGCTTGCACCAACCTGGATTGCTGCGAGGTTTAAACAAACACCGTCAAGAAACAATGACGTGTCTGAATCTGACGGTGAGCCATGCTTCTCACCCATCTCCTCAGGCATCAATGTTTTACATACTCGCCATCCATTTTTGTAGAGCCGGACGAGCTGCACGGGTAACTGGGCGCCGCATGCTGTAAACCTGATGTCCTTTCTCGCTGTCCGTCCTGAGCCAGAACACTCGACGCATGCCAGTCACCGCCTTACCCTTGGCAGCACTCACAAACACACTTTCTTATTCCATCATCCCGTCCATGGTATGGGCTCCACGGTGAGTCACCCACTCTTATAGGCTCTCTGATAGTCAGGTTCGTAACAGCACAGAATACTCCATGTATGCCAGACGGTACCATTCGCTCCGTTGGAAACATTCTTGAAAGGTCTGCTCCATCACCGTTTTTTTTTTCCCCCCCAAGTCCTCGCAGGCATGATGATCTTCAAAGACGCTCAGTAACCTGGTTCTTGCTGCATGGTCCCGTCCCCTCTTCGCTTGGAGAGCTCATGTCGTATGATCTTCATGGTCCTGCCACCTGCGCTCGGAGAGTTTGCCACATGTGCATGGGGTGCAGAAGATGTCCAGCCAGATGTGCTCGGAGAGTTTGTCTCTCATGTCATGTGATCTTCACGGTCCAGCCACCTGCACTCAGAGAGAGTTCGTCACATGCACATGGGGTGCGGTCGATGTCCAACCACCTGTGCTCGGAGAGTTTGTCTTTCATGTCGTGTGACCCTCATGTCTCATGGTGTGTTGTCGCTGTGCGCTTTAGCACTTCTGCTATCACTCTACAGCCATCTGCCCCTACCAGGCAGGTCTGGTTATGGTTTGTGCCATCAGGTTAACATTCCCCTGCTCCATGTTTCGCAGCATCGGAGGTACCAATTACCCTTCACTGCAGCAGCACCTAAGAAGCCATACATACATTGATGTGTCCTAGCTAGAAGCAGACATGTGCAGAGAGCACATGAACTCAAGAACTTGAAGACCCCTCCTCGGAGTCATTTTACTTGTCAGATTCTGACATCAGGATTCAAAGTCCAGTCTGTTTATCAACAGTTGGACGCATTCAGCCACATCAGCTTGGTACTTGAAACCCCTCTCATTGTATGCAATATTTTCTCCATGCCACTTCGCAACGCAGGTAGACTTGGGTCCTGGAAGAGAGTCTCCAGATGAGTTTTTTCTTTTGGAACAGAAGAGATTTGGAGCCATGCTCGCATGGCGTGGAGACTCCAGAGTCAACTTTTCAAATGCCTCATGTTTCTTGCGCAAAGAAAGAGGAGAGTTCCGGCCGTCACTCGAGGAACGACCCCATACGATGAGAGGACAGGAGTGAACAATGAATAACTGCTGCAAAGCGAGGTAGATGCATTTTCATGCTGATGTACAGGGTCGTCAGAAGAGGGATAGCGCACTATGCAGCAGAGCGAAAAAGGAGAGGGAAAACAAATGCCTGCTGCTCAACCAACACCGACATTCTTGAGCAGAAAGGAGTAGAGTTGCCACTTTGCACCAGTCTCGCAGCTACTTCCCTGACTGATTGGCATTCCATCCAACTTACAGTGCACTACACTTTCTGGTTCGAAATAGAAAGTGTGGAAAGTGTAGTGTAATGTAAGTTGGATGGAATGCCGATCAATCGGTCTCTCTCTCTCTCTCTCTCTCTCTCTCTCTCTCTCTCTCTCTCTCTCTCTCTCTCTCTCTCTCTCTCTCTCTCTCTCT